TCTTTGATCTTGTCTTATTATTCAGTTGGTTTCTCTGGCACAAGCAGTACATGAAATGGTATGTTGAAGCTTTCAATTTATTAATCACGTTGAAGGTTCTATAAACATATAAATTATATTTCTCTATTATCAATTCTGGTTTTTGTTTTTCTGGATTGGAGCTACCGTACAGTTGATTAGCTATAAAATAACATTGCTGGATTGGCTTGCATATTGATAGGTTTAAGTGGAATGAGCTTTGTTTACTATTATCCTGTATTCAGGTTAGTGGAGGGGTGGGTGTTTTAAACATGAAATGTAGGTGTAGATACGATCAAACAACAAATATGTGATTTTGCAATGGAATTAATTGGAAAGCATATATCTACTTAGGTTGCACTTGGCCATGGAATTTCTTGTAATTTAGTGTCTGCTTATGGTTGGGATTATCACAATCTTTATTTTGATATAAAATATAAGCTAAAAGTTTGGGTTGGAATTGGGGGGAATAGATATGAAAGGTTAATTGTGTTAATATACACCCAGTATTTGAGAGAGGGGGCCATTTTATAAGATTCTTTTTGGCAATTGATTAGCTACAACCTTGTGCTAGCATTAGTGGAAGTTGTTTCTTGTTTGCAAAATGCAATGAAGAGTTCAGCAATGTTATTTATATGTTTATAGAACCTTCTGTACGATATATTTATATTTATATTTCTCTATTATCAGTTGATTAGCTACAACCTTATGCCAGCATTAGTGGAAGTTGTCTCTTTGGCATTTCCAAGTTCCGGATCTCTTACTTCACCTTTCATAAAGGTTTCTGCCACTCTATCCAGCTTCTCTAGTAGAGCAATTTAAGTGCCAGTTGAAGATGGTTTTCTACTGCTCTCAGCCATATCTACTTCTCTTAGAATCTACTCGTCAGACACTTCATTAGCTGTTTTCTCTGTGCTGCTCTGCTCTTGTGATAGTGCTACACTTGATTCCTAATGTAAGATAGAAACATGAGCTATTTAGCTTTATTTTTTTACAAGTTATCTTCTTTATTAACTATTGTAGATCACCAAAGAAGGAAGGAGGATTGGGTTTACAAGTTACTTACCTCTTCAATATGAATATCTTTACCTCTTCAGTTTGAATATCTTTTGCTATGGTTTTAAATGTTGCATTGTTCTCCTCAGCACTAGAAATCCATTCTTTAGTTGATCTTCTCAATTGCTAGCTTTCATTGTTTTAAATACAAGAATGGTATGTTAGTGGAGGTCATTGTTTCTTTTTTTTCTTTTTTTTTTTTTGCCTTATCTAATTTGTTTATCTTGAGATAATTTAAATAATATTTTGAAAGATTAAAATTGTTAATTTTGATTTTATTAAATTTAAATAATAATTAGAAGAAGATTTAATTTAATAGAGAAATTCAATTTTA